TTTTCCAAACTTAACGAATGTAAAATAAGAAATACGGTTGTTAATAAATTTTTATTAAATCCAAAATTTTGTATATTATGTTTCGTTACCTATTTTTGAAAGCATCAACTTTTTGAAGTTATACATTGACTAATATCACACATCGTATTTGCGGATTACACTATCAAATATCGTGGTCTGATTATTAACCTGTACGGTTAAGAAAATTTAGTAGGTATTTAAGTATCCTAGAACGTGAAGTATGTTGGTTACGCATTTAACAAAATGCTGAATGTCTAACAACCCTTTGTCTACGCTTATGCATAGATAAATCTTATCTCTCTCTACCTTTTCCTGTCAGAGGTACCTACGTCCCTTGGTAGTATCCTTTCTTTTTACCTTTGATTATGCAATGCGATTAGGGAGCCGGATAGAGGGATTCGTAAGAGGGACGGGCGTCGCAATTAGCTGTCGACAACAGCCGGCAGACGAACAGAAATGCCGACATTTGCCAACACAATATTTATACTTAGTTTATTGTTTACCTACTTATGATGGTATCCGATGAAAGATTTAATTTTGCAAATAGGATTGACAGTATATCTACAGCTTAGTTTAGAACTTTTAAAAGAGAGAGTGAGATTTATCATCTAAATTATGTTGAAGCACTATAACATCATCTAAGAGCACAGCTTTCAACGGTGTTATATTTGCTAAAACATTTCCTGATAAAGATATCTAATTGCCTATGTGTTAGTTAGATCGCCAAATGGTTAAAACAAGGGGCATTCACTAAAACCGAGATTTCTGTCCTCAGTCAGTACAGTCAGTTTGGTATAGTACATTTTGGTATATTGGACATCCCTTTGTTTAATTTTATTTATTACATTGTTATAAATGAAGCATAATATACAAAAGTCCATTAAAAATTTGATTCTTTGATTATTGATGTAATATGCACTTGAATCTTTAACTAAATCGATTAAGTTCAGTACGTACCTAATTTTAACCTAATTGCAGAAATTTTCTGCAGACTTAGACCGAAAGTTAAAAGTTTGACTATAAGTTGATAATTTAGAGTTGTCATACTCTGTAATATGCTGTGGTATATCTATACCACAGCATATTGCAGCAGTAATTCGCGTGTCATCCGTACGTGTTTTTGCGCTCGGTGGAAGTATAATAAGTGTGGGGCCACGTGCACCACATGCCGCGTCTTTGTAACGGCTTCACCGATGTGTACGTTTATTACTACATATATAACGGAGAGCCACACCCCATGGTAGTTAATCTCCGAGGATCTATGCTTTAGGCTCTGTTAATATTGAACATGTAAGGTGCAGGTAAATAATAAAACGTACGCTATAACATAATTTATGCCAACGCTAATAGTTCGTGTTCATAAGCTGGTGTATGGCGCAGAATGCAAAAAAGTGTAATGTTTTTATTTAGGATTGTTTATTTTAAACGTTCAACAGTTTATTAAAAAAAAACAGTAATTCAGCCTTGCTAAGTTTTTCGCTCAGTTTTTCTATAAATACACCGTAGCGGAGTGGTTCGCACACCGGTTTCAAGGTGTTGCCATGTCTGAGGTCCCGAGTTCGATTTCCGGACTGGTAAATGTAGAAAATGAACTTTGTCTCAGATACTCCATAATACGGGGCTTTAGCTTACTAATCTTGGAATCTGAGCAATGTATGTGATGTCTTATATTTATTTATTTATTTTATTTATTTAGGCACCCAAATGGAAAGTTTCAAAATGTCATAGAAATTGAGGTGAGATAAAATGCGGAAGACCTGACAAGCAGTTCCAGTAACTAAGTTTAGATTAAAATGTCGAAATGAAGCCTTTAAAAAATATCGGACAGATAGATCAACTGTCGGCCTGTAGAACATCGTAATCCCTGATGGATAAGCTAAACCGAAATTTATTTTACTTAGATACAATACTTTTTCCTGACTTCCGGTCGCAGTCAAAAAGTTAACTACATTGTTTCTACTCTGATTATACTGTACTAAAGCCGTCTATAACTAAAGCCATTATAAGCCGATAAACACAAATAAATAATTTTCATATAAGACTCGAGATTAATGAAGAGTAATTTATTTGGAAATCGTTATTTTAACAAATTAATTGTCACCGTTACAGATCATTAGGGAAAAGATACACATGAACTATTAGAGCTTCATTTTGACGGTCAATCAGGGATTTAATGAGGTGGCAGAGCCACAGGTGGAAGACATGCTACACATGTATGAATGCATGCATAAATCCCTTTGAAATTCAGTTCTCGGGTTCGCTACTAGTCCGGTTGGTTGAATATTCTGTTCTTTTTGAACAACAGAAAAGAAGGCTCTCTCTTATGTTTTTTCGAAATGATTTTCGAAACGCTGGTTTAGGACTACAAAGAAGCCAATTTGTCGATAATTTAATATTCAATGGAGGTGGGACCTGACACTGCTTCTGATGCACAAATATATTTTAAATTTTCGGAATAATTATTTGTTCAATCAGCGTAGCCTCTTTGAAACAGAGTATTTCATTATAAATTAACATTAGTTAAGAGGTCACATAAATTTATTTTTATTAAGAACCGTCGAAATACATTCCATTTGTTAGTGTATCGTACAAAACATATTTTCGATATTTTTTTACACAGAATTTACATAGAAATATTTTGTCCAGCAGACAAATCCTAGAATGTCACAAGTTTAATGACGCCCGGCGTCATACTGACGGGTAGTAAACAAGTTGAGCTACGATTAACGAGTTCCATAAGGATGTATTGTCGTGAATTCTCCGTCGACGCCTAGTAATGGGCGACCCAGTTGCCGTCAAAAACAACATTATTAAGCCCATTCCGCCTGTCACCACCCATCGACGTCCCATTGTGTCGTATCCGTCATAATACCCGCTAATGAATCCCTCTATAAAATATAAGAAAATGCTTATCGTTAGAACATGTTTATTTTAATGAATAAATCACTTCACATAAATACAATATTTTCTCCAGTCACAGTTAATAAGAAAGCAGACATGTAAATTGTAGTGCAATAACCATTATAAATAGACAAATTATAAATTTATTTTTATAAAAATATATATAACACAGAGAAAAGATTCGAGTAAGTATTTGCATAGAATAGGCTCCGTAAATACTGAACCGTTTTAAAAAATAATATACCAACGGGAAGTTTTATCACATTATACGTGAGTGACCGAAAAACACAAAAAAATAATTTATTGGATAATTAAAACTTTTTGGAAATCATATAATCAATTTTAATACGCATTAAAAAGCTCTGTAACAGCATTTCTGTGAACGACAATACTTACCTATCATATATGCTAGAAAAATTAAACGGACCTTTTTTATAATGTTGGATATTAGAAGCGAAGCCGCTTCAAAGCAGTAATTATCAGCACATGGGGTAAAAACTACTCAACTATAGCCGGAGACCATTCAACATAGTTGGAACTCTGCCAAAAGCAGACGAGGACCCCATAATCTGGGCGCGTCTGCTCTGTGGGGTTTCCCATGAACATCCAATTAATTCAGTCGCGTAATGCCTTGTAGCCGGGCCCTGGGGCCCTACAAAGGGCGGAGTGCTCATTGTCGGGGAGGAGTTCCTTTATATCGTCTATCAACAGCATAGTGCGAACGACAGAGAGTAACTATCATTTAAGGCGCAGAAGTACGATTTTTGTTGGATTCCAATTAAACATCATGCTTAAACTAGCTATGAAAATATATTTTTTTAATATAATTACGCGAACACTCGCGAAACAAAATGATCAAAGCATATTTGTATAATTATAGTGATATAGTATAGTATTAAGAAAAATTCTCAATTTTGAAAGTCAAAAAAATTATAATGGCGCAAATTCTTTTTTTTTTCTCTTGTATGTATTCAATTTTGTAGCGGCCATCATTGCCTTAAGCCCATTTTATGTACATATAGTAGTAATCCCTTTACTTTGTATTGAAATAAACTAATCTGCTTAGGTGATTCGTAAGAATAGCTGTTTCCTAGTCTATAAAAAACGGATGTGAGGTCGTGTTGCAGAAAAGCCCGGTGTGAAACATATCATCACATATTGATATATATACACACAGATGTTGTACGCTACATTGTAATTAGATTTCGCTTAACCACAACAGCTGAATCTAATTTAGCACCCAATGCCGAATAACATTTAGTTAATTAATTCCTATGTAGCCTGTAATTATCGAGAGTTCAGTGGTTCTACCTACAGATTATGACTTGAACATTTAATTTGATTATCAACACACACTAATTATTGTTCAATTAATTAATGGTAATATAGTGTAATGTAAAGTAACATGGCTTCATATGTAAAAATTTTATCGAATACAACCGGACTGCGAGTGATTTAACATCAAACGGTTTGTTGTTATAAAATATCTGTTTTTTTTACATCATCATTATCATCAGCCCTTTTATGTCCCCACTGCAGAGGCTCAGGCCTTCCTTGTGGATAGTTAAGTAGAAAATGGGTCATTACCCTCCACGCTGGCCTAATGCGGATTGGAGGGAGGGTATGAACGAATGCAGCCGGGACCAATGGCTTTACGTGTTTTCCAAAGCACTAAATAGGTTGAAACATTTTTTTTTGGTCATCCATCCCGTGACAGACCCTTGCGAAAGTTGCTTAACATCAACAATCGCCGGACCGCGGCTCTTAACCTCTACTCCACCGAGCTACTTTTTTTTTAGTTTAATTATATCACTTATCATATTGTGTTACTCTCAAACGCATTAATACGATTTACATAATATACATTTAAGAGATATTAGCTTTTGTCCTCAATTCTGTCACTGGAGTAGAATAGTTAGTTTCAATGGCGGTAGTTCGCCATATAAAATTTTATTTAATATATTGACGCTTTAACCCTTTTTTCATTTCTATGTCAATACCAAATTGCATTAAAATCGATACAGCGGTTTAGCAAATTAAAATAAATTTGGATCGAAATCGGTTTATGCATTTTTAAGCTAGTACGATACTAACGACAGACATATGGGTACAAAAACACGTCAAACTTATAAGCAACAGCAGGCGCATTTCTTTGCTCATATAATGCGCACGGTCGTGATAGTGGACGGAGCAGCATGGAGTGCTATATTTGAAAAAAACAAAAAAACAAAATTGTCTTGAATTGTAATTATCATATATGTAAACGTTAAATGCATTAACTTTATAAAGTACGTATATACATAGTATGCAACTATACTTTAACGAACGTTACTTTGGTAAATAGCTAATCAGTTGCACAAACGTCCATTAAGGTTTAATGATACCATTAAGCTCTAATGAACGTCTTTGTATGGGTAACGCCGCTTTTAACTAATGAAAACTTTAATGGATGTTTGTGCAACTGGCTGAATGTGTCTTTTATTACAATAAGAAGCGGAAAATTAATTCGCAGTCGAATGAGTCGCCGTGTTGTAAGCAAACTCCTCTACTATTTCTTGGATGCGGCTTCTAAACGATAGTAAATGTCGTCGCGGGATTTCGCGAACGTGCGGAAGTAGACTCTTGAAGAAATACATGTGTTCTTCATTGTCTTCTTCCTTAGATCTCTCTTGGATATATTCCCGTTTCCTAGTTTTAAATTTCGGGATGTTGCTTGTGGAATATTTAAATATCTTTTCAGGAGGTTTTTCATCTTCATCTTCTTCTAGAGGATCGTATAAGTCATCTTCCATTTGATACGATATGTGCGTCACATCAACAGAATCATCGATTGGCTCTACAGATGTGCTTGAAGGGCGTCTAACTTTTTTTCTGCTTCTAAATTTTCTTAATTGGACTATGCCTTTCAGAAACATTAAAGAATTGAACGGTGGCCATTTTGGTGTGTATGAGCCTTCGCTAGAAGTGTTGAGTTTCGCTAACTCAACTGCGAATTGGTCCCTGAGGTACCGCCACTTCTTGCGGAGTAGAATTTCTGAAAAAAAAAAAGAATGAATGTTTTGATGGTTAATAATATAAATGATTTTAATGGCTGATCGTTTTTTTTTATTTGTTTGTTTTAGGTTCGTATTTGAATATCCTTCTAAAAACGAATTTTTGTTTACTTTACTACTGGGTATTTAATTTAAATAAGTATGTATTTGCCACAAAGGACAAGCATATTTGCTTAATCCGTTTACTGCTTAGATATAAAAAAATCAATTTAAAAACAGTTGATTAAAAGTGAAAAATAATCCAAAAAATTAATAATTTTGTTGTATTAGGCATACAAAATCAAACTCATAAAAGCAATGACTTATATTATGACGATTTTACTTAAGTATGGACTTACTTAAATCTTTCGTTATTTGAGAATAATACAAGGTTTTTAGCTGATGATCTTTAAATCTGAGCAATGTACTGGATGTTATATCATATTAATTTATTCATATAATTTTTTTTTATTTAAACGAAAGTAATCACCCTCTATGTTAAGAGGGCTTTTACCTTCAATACCACTAACTTTTAACTGGTTTTGAACAATGAAATAACGTCCAAATAAGCTGTAATAAAAAATGAAATACAACATCATATTTTTAAGGGTTCGGTCACAGCCAAAAACTAGAATTTATAAAATCTTATGGTCCATCATTAAAATAAAAAAAATACCCAGACCAACTCTCAGACCCAGTGATATAGACTGGGACTATATTTTACACGTATTATACAGTATCTACTAGTTAATATTAGTATCTACAGTTAATATTATCAGTAGTTAATATTTTACGTTTCAGGTCAATGTACATTGACCTGAACGGGAATCGAATACTCATCAATTGGGGAGAGATGGCGACACGACAACCTTGAAGCCGGCATGTGACTCAGCTACGGAAGTCGTTGTATTAGGTAAATATTGCACTATTCATGAAACAATGTAACACTTTTGTATGATCTGTTTTTTTATTATTTTGAACGAATTATAATCACCCGGTCACTTTTAACCGGTACCGGTAGATCATACTAGCTACGACAAATAGAGATACTCACCTATCCCAGTATTTCAACATCCAGACGCGTAACATTAATAATTTTAACAGAATCGGTAAATTGAAGATAAATTTATGTACGCGCGGCCGCACGTCACGCTACACACCACCACAGAAAACAGACCTCTGTTAGTAGAGAAGTTCTATACGAAGAACAAAGTCCACAATGTATAGTCTGACGTGCAGCCATGTGTACATAAGACTACACACCAAAGGCTTGTTTTTCCAGTGCCGTTTGTAAAGTTGGATTGATCGCCATAGTTATTTCATCCCAAGCCATTTGTGTCGCTTGTCGATTTTTATAAAGGTCCATGTTTTTATCCCATAATATGGGCCTTTCCTCCACCAGGGAAATAAATGTATCTATATCGATTGACGTTTCGTCGGCCATCTTGACGTACGCTTGGTACGGGCACCGCGTCGGTACTGGCTGGCGTAATGAATCGAACGACGCATGTCTGTATGAGATAGCACTATTAGCATTGTATCTATTTTACAAGGATGTTTTTGTTTTTTCTCACTCACCGTGACGTAATCCGTGCGGGTTATTCCGTCTGTTATGTACAGATAAGAATGTGGGTTTACTTGTGATTTAGATTTTACTCGAATACAAAATGATTCAAAATCTCATAGATTTTTTAATTATGTCAAGGTTATCTTTTTTCTGACAAACAATATTTCAATTAGTATATCTATTAATATAAGTAATCTGTAGTATCAATAAGGGGTGAAAGGGTTTTAAAATGGCGACTGCGTATCGGATGACGTTCAGTTTCCACCAGGTGGACCGACAATTTTATAAAGGTTGCGGGTAGCCGCCAGATGCGGGCAGTGCAGCACCCATCGTCGTGGAGATCGAAGGGGGTAGCCTATGCTCAATAGAAGACGTCGTTCGGCTGTTGATAATGAATTAGGTTCTGTTTAATACTAAAGTAACTTTCTTCTGAATTATAAGAACCTTGCACACGTATTTTTTTAATTGTGCATACGGCTGAACGTAATCATATAGTTGCATCGATAAACTTTCATGAGGCTTGGAGCAGTACACCTAAGTAGGTGTGAAAAGTAGCTTTAGTAATAAAGTTTCGAACAGAGATATACTTGAGCTGAATAGATATCTTTGTTAGAAATCGGACAAATTGCTTTATTTATACTATTCTCGTGGCATATTTTTCTCACTTAGCACTAAAATGTTATATATGTGCAGCGCACTAGGTCAACGAGAAAGAATAGTCCAACTGTTTCGGTCTCGAGCCAAATCAAGAGCTACCGGACTGTGAGTTCGCTACCTACTTGGCACTTTTATTTTGCCTTAACATTTTTTTTGTTTTTTAACGTGTAAGGATAATGTATTCAGTAGTTAACGCCGTAAATTCTGGCATCCGAAAACTAACCACACTGTTTAGGATTAGTCATCACAACAGTAGTCGTGCTTACGTCTTCACGGTTCAATTTACAAACAGTTCAAAACTGACATGCCTTTATTTCAGAGAGTGCCGGGCAAGCCTGGCAAGTGACAGGGTGGGATGCTCCTCTGCTGTCTAATGGACCCTCTGTTCTGAGGTCTATCCACTAAAAACGATATAACATTTTCTTGAAAATGAGCACAGGGATTTGAATTTAAAAAGGTCGTGTCTGTGAGTATCCATCATCTTTCTTTGCGGTACATGCTTACATGTATTTTATCACTTACTTGAAAGTAATCAGAATGTGATTTAAGCTATGTATTTTGCCAATAAAATGACTATTCAAACCCCAATTTGTTACTATAAGAGAAAACATGAACAAACACCATAACATGTTTTAAGTTAACTATCATGTTTTATTGCGTATACCTAAAGCAAAATTGTTGTGAATGAAAAAGTAAAATTCTAGTTAACTGTCATTAAAAATAAGAAAACTACATTAATTATGTCTATGCGTAATGAATGGATTAGAGCATATAAAAATATAAAGCAAAGCACCTCAATTATTTCTCATAATATTATGTTTTCATTTTAGTGATGATCGATAGACTTGTGTTTCTGTATTGTGGAAGTTTAAAATTGAGAACACGACATTTTTTTTTGCATATAATTTATTAAAAATAATGTATGAAGCTCTATTTCAATCTACACTTAGGTACGCGCCTTGAGTCGTCTTGTATGTACTTTACCATTATTCACACCCACTTCATTAATAATTAACCTTATAAATAATCAATATATTTTAAAATATGGAATTTTTTTGTTCCTTCAATTATTGTTCAGGTTCAACATAAAAGGGAAATTTAATAATCTTTGACTGAAGCTTGTGGTTAGTTTTTAATTTTAATTCTATGGTATGAAACTGTGCATATGAAAATTTCTTATATTATAAATACTTCCTAACTCTTAAAAAACAAGAAACAAAGCATGATTCTTTTTATTTAAGCTATATGAAATAAAACAAGGAGGACAAATCCGAACTCTGGGAACAAATAAAGTTATTCAATTTTTGAACATTCCAATGAAGATAAGCAAAAGAAACTTTATCAATAAAAGTTTATTTCCTATACATTAAATAGGTTTTACATAAAATTTTAATCATTTTGTTGCTACATGTTCGGAAAATGTTAAGTTTCATTAAGCGGCAACTGGTGTACTGAGAGGATACTTTAAAACCAGTATTATGAATATACTGAACTTCATCGTGCTCTGTCCTACTTTGCGTCATTTTAAAAATTGTAAGTCGGAGCAGGGTAGGCGTCTAAGCAGTCCTCAATGTCGTATCTCGATATTGAGAGTATATACCTCTTTTACTTTGTACAAGATGTTTACGTAAACAGTCAAATAACTTTTAAGTGAAGTTGCTATATTGATACATAACTTTTCGATAGCATCGAGATGGTAACCAATGGAATCAGTCGAAATATCGATATTTCTATCGAAAAGTTGACTGTCCATAATCTACTTCGTTATAGTTATTAATGAAATTTATTTTTCAGTATGAGTTTTATTTCTAAAAAAAAATTTTTGATTTCTAAATTTTATTTCAGGTGTTAATCTAAGTTTGTATTCTAGTATGTGCATACCTCATTCAACTCATTCATTTAATTCACCCCTGGTTTACTAAAGGGTGAGATTAACGGTTTAGTCCTATTATTTTTATCTTTACTTTTATTCGGACTTTAACTTTTATTTCTGGGATAATATAAAAGTGTACCTAATTAATCTTATTAGTCAATATAGGTAGATACCATTATACTGCTATAATTATAGGTAGGTAACACCATCGTTTATTTTTCCTATCAATAATTTGGTCAGGGATTTTCATTACACGACGTAGCCCTTAGCATGAAAGCATAAAAAAATTTAATCGAGCGCATAATATGATTTCTGTATTTTAATAATATTTGTAAAATTTGTATTTATATGTGCTTAGCGTTATCAATTAAAATTTTCAATACTTTTTTTACATTTAAACTCTATACGAATTTGATTGGAATTAGATGATATTTCGTGCTAGCAATACTGTTTTCTAATATCAACTATCGATGGTTGCTATAGTTAATGCAACATCACTACTTTATATCACGTTGACATTTAGGAAGACGTGTACTCATGTCTCCAAGAAAGTTTTCGATTCACTCGGAGGTTCGAAGCCTTAGGTATTACGATTCCTTTTCTCGTAAAGTAAATAGAAACCCGAGGGACTTTACCCAGGTGTTCGTGTATTCAAGCGAGCAGGCGCTTTGAAAAGCAACATACAGGGTACCCGTCCTATAGTACATTCCATGTATATAAATTTTATATCACTATGTATGTATATGTTATAACACATTTTTTTAGCTATGTATTTTAATTGATTTTTTTTTAACTTTAGTCACGATAAAATTGAAGTTTTAGGCTATGTAAATTAGACACAAACTTTTTTGTTATTTATGTTAAAAAGAATACAGGAAATTATAATATTTAGCAATGTTCTACTACAATTAAGTCGCCAAAATAGCAGAATTTGCAGTTACAATGTACTATGGCGGGCTATGCCAGCGAAATTACACTGCAGGTTCAGATAATAAGCAGTTGTCTGTCTTATGAATAGCGTTTCCTTAAAATAGAAAACCTCAAAACTTCAGTTTTGAGGTTTATATTTAATTTTTAGTTACCTATAAATTAAAACAAGTAAATCAAAAATATTGTAGGCTTTTACAGCATACACTATTATATTAACTTTAAAGCTTTGTTTATAAAACTGAACTGAATTATACTTAAATCGCATGAAAATTTATATAATTAACAAAACCTATAATAATTCCTACCTACATTATTTTGTTGGTGATAAATATCTAATCTTGAATATATACATAAAACAATGTAAATACTTTATAAAATAATTCAAAGCTTAATATGTTTGATTGAAACTTGTTTTAAAAAACAGTAGGTAAACGATGTGGAAAATACAATTCCAATGCAACCGTGTTGCAGCCGTTACGACAACATGAAATTGCAATTGTTTGTGCACTTTATTTTATTCCAGCACGACCCCTGTCTACTTTTAAACACATATTCGGCATCAAACCACAGCCAACTCTAACCACATAAATACAACATTGTATTTGCCACTGCCGTATCTTAAAGTCTATAAAATAAAGTCCCAAATGGCTTGCTCTAATTACACTTGTATCTTTGTTGTAACGTAATAACACGACAGCGCTCTTAATGCCGTACATCCGCAGACCCCCTCCACACGGATGTATATTTACATGAATAGAGACAGGGGCACTATCGAAATTCAACTAATTTAGTTTAACGACTACCTACAAAAATTGTTGACTCGTGAATTTTCAGTGCACTTATAAATATGTAGATCGCCAGAACAATGCAGGTTGAAGGGTAACTTACCTATGTTAATGAATACACTATTGAATAAAAACAGTGTGCGTGCCCACAATACTAATTTCGAAAGACATGTAATCGCATATAAATAGGAGACATGTCGATATACGTTTCTATAAATGGTTGTTCGAAAGTAGAGTCCTGCTACTTTTTTGGTCTGACGCGGCATTGAGAATTAAAACACATCGAAAAACATGGTCTTTGTGTCCAAATAAATACTGTGAAACATAATCCAGAATCTTAAAGTTCGACCTCGTATTCGACCCAGCAGGACAGACTGCTCTGGCTTTTATTTACTTGTTATTATCTTCCATTGCAGGCTTTCAAAAGCACGGACGGATGATTGTTAAAAAAAAGTTAATGCGCAGCACACTTTCAGTAAAGTCTCTTAGAAGACGGCGAGATAAGCAAGGTTTAGTACTTAATTGTTACCTCGGATTCAATGGCAGTAAGTAAATAGGTAGGGAGCTTGGCCAATGGTCGCACTGTACCACTAAAAGTTACAAGGAATTTGCCTCGCTAAATTAGTTTTGGGTTCCTATTATGGTGAAGTAGTTTATTTGAAATGGGTTAGATCAGTCCGATTAAAAGCTTCCGTGAGTAAAATGTACGGAACTTTCACTATTGTGGGTATTGTACCAAAAATAAATGCTAGTCAAAGGAATGATAAATGTTGAAGAAGCGAAAGAGGTGTGTCTGAACTGTAGCTTGTGGAGATTAATTGTCCATGTCTACGCTTTGGGAACCAAACGAAATTTTATGTATATAGGTATAATATCTAATATTGCTACAGGTTTCAATTCATCAATTTTCGAAGTTCCTTTCGTTTGTCAAATCCTTTGAGAAAAATTTTTGAAATAGACTGATAACGCGGATATATTTCCATATTGTAATAATATCATTCAATAGAAAATAGCTTTTATGCTATTTGTAGATAACAAATGTTTTTCAACAACTATTATATTCGAAATGTAAGATTGACTTGAATTTTTACTATGATATTTTCTCATTTTATACAAAACACATAATGACTTTTAACAAATGATTCAAAAACTTAACACTTTTTTATGAAATTCGACTTACTTTTATTTGCTTTTAGTTATTTTTTCTACTTTTGTTTCGTGACATAGCCACAAGAAGTTTCTTTTTCACAACAATCGGTCCGCATATATTTAACACTGGTAATTTTCTAGTATAAAAAAAATCCGAAGAGAATCGTAATCTCCAAATCTTTTTCTCACGTAAAAATCGAGTAAAACGTGCTTGCTTCTATCTGGCGGCTATTTCATAACGAGCTACTGTTACATGCATTATACGTGAATATGTATCGAAATTTGTAACAGCGTTGTAGTCATTATTTAACTTCATGAGAAATGGCACTGTTCAGTATTCACAGAAAATCGCGACACTCAAAAGCAATAGAGTGTTTTGAGAACTAATAAACCCTCGTCAAAGAAGAATTCATTGAAAATTTACGGATTCCTAGCGTGAAATATCGAGAAATCCTTTTTAAAAGCGGTGAAATAAGTTTTTATTGTTCTTAATATCATATTTACGCGATTGTTGTGTACGAAAAATTATCAAAATATCCTAAAAATATCTTATATCTTTGTGATTCTTTAGTATATTGTTACTGAAAATATCATTTATTTAGCTATAAAAGGTACATGGTACAAGACTATCTCAAAATTAGATAAACAATGAAATGAATACTAATTGATTGTATTTTCTAATTGATGATCATAAGAATTATCATAAGTTACATCGTTACTCTTATTACGAATTAGGCTACAAACTGTTAATAATGACTAAATGAACATCTATTTCTATACTAGTATTATGATATTTTTAATCAAATACAAAATGGTGATTTTCCATGAAGTTATTTTTAAATTTCAAAATATTCATAAACATAAACATAACTGAGAGAATATCCTTATTGTTATATTTTGATTAATTTTGCATTCACAATGCCATACTGAAAATTATTCTTAATGTAATATGCTTAAAAAATCCACTTGGTCCCTGGCAGAGCAGTCGCCCGGATTGCGAAAGGTTGTGGGTTCGATTCCCATCTCAGGGTGCCAGGGACCAAGTGGATTTTTTAAACATTTTGTATTACGAATAATATCCTTATTGAATGAAATAATGTATTGTGAATAATACAGTCCAATGATTAATACATTTAATTTTTCTTATTATAATTCTTTTCTATTAAATTTTAACTCATTTTTCTATGTTATTCGAATCCCGGCAAAATTTGTAAAATATAGGAGTTACTTGTTACAATATATATATAATTTTTGCAACAGCACTGAACCGGAATAGTTTAAATTCTTAGTTAATTATGTCCAATGTTTTAATAAACTTTCGTTGTACCCTTTCGATCTCATCCTGATGTATACAATGATGAGAGTTCCAGACAGGGCTTGCGAATTCAAGTCTATTACGTATATAACTATTGAATAATAATTTATATGTAGCAGAGTTTCGAAAACGTAAAATGAAACCTAACAGTTTGAACGATTTATTTACAATTTTGTCAACGTGTGGAATAAATGTCAATTTGGAGTCCATTACCACTCCCAAATCCCTTATTTCTGTAACACGATCAAAAGTGTTCCCACACAATTTATACGAGAAATTTATTGGATGTTTTTTTCTAGTACATGTGATCACATGACATTTGTCCGTATTCAGAAACAGATCATTTTTGTTGCAAAAAGTTTCAAATGTATTTAAATAATTATGATCTAACTACCATTAATTTATTAGTAATATCATGGATAAACTAGATTTTACTTTTCAATAATAACATAGCTCTACTTGTTTATTGCTCGTTTCAGGAATTTGAACCAGAGGTTCATTAAATTTTCCAAATCACTATAGCTCCGGATCTGGATAACTATTTTAAACTGGCTTTAAAATCGAAAAGGAGGAGGAAAGGAATGCTTGTACTGGCTTGAATTAGAAATATAATAAATATACATTACTTTTCCCTATTGACAGAAAATGTATATCTGACCAAAGTCTCCCGGAGAACAAACAATGTTTTAAACTTGAAGCAAGCAATTTCGAACACCATATATCGCCAAGACGAGAAACGCTCCCAAAGAAGATGTCGTTGGCGGACTGTGCAACTACGAAACTTTCTGAAATAGAACGAGACACTATTACGCGTCTGCTACGGTCAGCACATCCGCATCCGGCTTCCACTAGTGTTGTAGGAAAGGTATTCAACGTTTAAGCTATCGAGTGACTGGAACGTTTTAAGAATTCCACATGGAATTGGTTATAAAACATATGAAAAAAAACATCATGACTTAACTTTTTGTTGTTGTTTATGGCCATTTTCGCAATTTGATTCCATCTATAGGGAAGGCCTGTGCCCCAGCTAAGGAACAATAACAAGCAGTTGATGAACAAACCATGGACTAAATAAATAAACATTATTTAATGCATAATTACAAATTGAGAATTAAGAAATGGCAATGAAAAAATAATAATTTTCATTCAACTATGTGCAATTATTCATACCTAATTGTTATTAACGTTATATTGAGACTTTTATGTAACTTTTGTTAAGTCAACTGTCGATAGTAAAGTTATCGATTGTTGTCCATCATTAACGAGTATAATATCAGGAGCGCCGGGTTGCTCCCAAGAGTCACAAGAGAGGGGACACCCGCGGGCCATTGTGTTCCAAAAGCAATATCAGCAGGGTTAGGGAAAAATGATTACAAATACTGTCCATTGGGTTTCGCCGTCAACTTTTAATTTCAAATTTACTATTTACTTTATTATATAAAACATTATTAATATCCAAATTACTATTATGAATAGTTTTTTATATATTAATAATAGTTGAACTATATATCTTGAGTCTTTCTAAGCTTCTTTAAAATTCACCAATAAAGAGACCAGTACATTACTTGTAATATATTACATACACATTTTTTATTAATTTTGGCCTCAAACAGTCACGTAAAATAGTAGTTTAGCACAAAAAAGTCCTTACATTATTAAATGGGATGTAAAGAAATGCTTTGTACGAGTATATCATTGGTATCCTTTAATTGTGAAAAGAGGAGAAAGCTATTCTTCTTTTTGTTGTTATAAGTTTGTTCAGTACAGTTTGTTTTTTCTATGTCATGATATTTAAATAGGCTTACCTATCGTTTTCTGCTGAATCGAATACATATTTATACGGCAATGAATAATGAAATTGCCATAAAGTTTACTACGATATTCACGTTTCACTGCGTGCAGCGTTTTTCCAATTTGAACGGAAAGAAATATTATTCGGTTGCTATAAATACTTCATTACCAATTCAACGGCCGATAGAATACTGTACAACGTAGTACATTGCGTCTGGCACGTAACGGAGGGGACTTGAATAAGAATATTTTTATTAAGTTTTCAATGTCTGAGCGGACCCAAGCGACATCCTTGGGGCAGCCATTTAAAACTAAGTCACGGCTACCGGGCCTCTCATCTGCATACTTCGCTGCCGCACACTCTTGAACTTTTACCAGCTCCGGGACGTCTTTGGGATTTTAATTTCTCGACACCGGCCATTTGGCAAGCGGTCCAACACTTGGCACAAAGTTTAGTTCGAGCAAAAATGTCACCATAATTTTACTTCGTACCTATTACACATCGTCAATTTATTTCTCACTTTTTCATGTTTGAGTTTCTAGAGCGAATATAACGGAACTATAATTGACTTTTAACAAAAACTTGCTTTAAACTGACTAGAGGTAGATATCCATTATGATTATGTTTCAAGCTAAGACTTACTAAAGGTAATGCCACATCATCCAAGTTGATTCTGTAATCTTCACGAGCATACCATTATTACTAGGTTACAGGTTACATTGTCTTTTATTATCTTAAACGAGCGGGTTTGTAATTATGGAGGGATGGGTGTCATAAAGATAGATAACCCTTTGTCACGCAGACATAGAATACGGTATAGTACAAGATGACCGTTGCATAAAATCAAATCAATAGGCACTAAATAACATAAAGATGACAGAATAGTATCGAAGATTTTGATAATTCATGTAGGTATTGTACGTGTTTATGTTAAGTTACAAAAGTACAAAAGTTGTGCTGTAAGTACCGTGCTTGTTATCGAGCTAGAATTGTACACCTGCCAATATTTTACTTGTAAAAATTCAGAGCGTTGCGTGTTGTCGGAGACGGGTGGACCGGTGCTTTTTGGTTTGATTTCTAAATTTGGTTACCGTGTACGTACCTTAGACTTAGGGCTGCTTCTATACAAATCTGTAAAGCCAATTTTTTGGTAAAACTTTTATTTTAGAGGTCATTGTTGCGTGAAATTAATTTAAATTATAAACTACTACTAACTAACACAGAGCGGTGTAACATGGATAAAATAAAGTTTCCTCTGATAGAATGTTTCAAAGAGTAATGTAACATTGATTGAACACCCCCGTCAATTAGTTCAGCAGGTTATAATTGGTTTTTCGCATAATTGGCAACACAGTAAAGGGGTGCACGGTTGGAATGGAGCGGTGGAGTATGTATGAATCAGTTTGGCAGCCCTGGTGGACGCAGTGCGTTACATATTTATAGGATGGTTCCGCAGCGGGAGCGATGCTAATGCCAAGCGCGACCAATGTCCAGCTAGCGGCCCCTGGCGCATTACTGGTGCGACCCACTGCAACACCATTTTAAGAATTAAAATTTCCCGAACACGTTTTAAATAATATCAGTTTATTAATATTGTATTACGATTACGTCTTTTTAGGTTAAATAATCTTTTTGATAATACTGTTATGTATCTTTAAGTTCATGGACAGCCACATACAAATACCATTAAAGTAGCCAATTGTTTCTAGTACTCGATTGAATCGACAACCATCTCTCGATTGAATTGATAAGAATCGACAACCATCTGCTATCTTACAACTAAGCTTGTTACATTTCTGCTTACGAGCTAATTGTTCTTAGTGTTTAACTAATATAAATAGCCCAAAAATATTTTTACAAATATTATCAAGCTACTCGCCGCCGGCAATTTCCAATTTGGAAGAGCACAGCTCAAATCGTAGGTCAATTATAATTTTTATTTTTACAACGTGTAACAGAAATACCGCACATCCTTATATACCCAAATTAGAAAATGCAATTAAGTGAATCGTTACACTGCATCTATGAATCCTACGTTAAAAGATTGAAAACATATTGTGCAAAAAAGTAATAAGAATCACAATTACGGTCCAGATCCTATCACGAAATCAGTAAGGGAGTTTAACTCAAACATAAAAAATATAGCCGAGTCCGAAATGAAGGTTTGTAATGTAAAACAAACTTGTAAAGCAAATGTTCCACCGTCTATAATAGAAAGTTTACCGTCGACTTCTGATTTAAAGCAAACAATTTACCGCTACAGAAATAAGAAGGATGTAGTGAAAGAACTCAATGATATATATTGACGCTAGAAAGCAAACACGCAAACCAAAAACACAAAAATAAGAATTTCTACAATAATTATATTGTTATTATTCGAATTAATTCCGGTTCACAGTTCACACTGTCATAGTTCTAAACTAACCTAACTACCACTTTTCTAGCAGTTCTAATCTAGCCTATGTAACCTATATGAAAATAATTCATTTTAATTTTTTATAATTAATTATTACTGAGACATTCTTTTTATTTCAGGCGAGTTCTAGCCTAGGGTTGTGCAAAACACTACACAGCAGCTACGACTTTTAATAAGCAAGTGAGATGTTTGATAGCACTCAGCTGTTTGCCTGAAGAAGAAATCCCTGAATATGTGGTATGATAAAACTACATCAACGGCACATGTAACTAACACACAACCGAACTAGGCATTAAGTTATTGATATTGTTAATTATCATTTGGGCATAGTAATACAAATATATTTAGATAAAAGAAAAAGAAAATTTTATTAATTTTATTACATCCAGGTAATTAAAGTGTAGACCTTGCTTTAAAGTTTTTTTTCTCGTGAAAAGATTAAAAAACGTGACCTGCGGGGCTAAAGAAACTCCGTTATTTGATTTTTTTTTTGTTATTTGTAAAAAAAAAACTAACAATCAGATACATTATTTGGTATAATTAGCATCGTATAGTAAACCGTGTCACGCGTTCTTCCCTCCCCGCACAGCGTTAAATATAGCTTTATTACCAAAAATTGCCCAATTGTCATATAGCAATATAACAATAACCGTGCAATGTGATAAATAATGAAGTTTTGATAGAAATTAATCATTTAACCCGATAGAGCTAGACATTATTCATAATGCTCGCACATTATTAATAAGCCCGCATTAATTACCTGGTCCATAATATCATTAGTAATTGTAAAAGCAGCATTATTCACTCAAATTTATTCGAAATAAAAAGGCAGAATTAAAAACATCAAACTAAGCCTTTGGTGATCGCAATACAAATGTTCAATTTATTTGCAATCAGAGTAATTAAATCGGTCAGGTGAGTGGTGGGCTGCAGGGGGCAGGGTGTGATGGTGTGGAGGCGTCCCGACATTCGCCAGTTTAGACAGATTGAGAGATACCGTGATGAATGGACGGCCCGCGCGAGTGAATGCGACCGCTGCCTACATAAAACCTGAAAGACGGCTTAAATAAATCATGCCGAGGCACAACTTTAAAGGGAATTGCCCCGGAATGGCGGCCACCTACAATAGTATGCCTGCTCGTTATTTTCTAAAGACACGTATTTCATTAGTGATCTTGAATAAACTTTTGTTGTTGCTTTATTCAAGGCTGATATAAAAAATTTTTTGTCCTTAAAGTTTCTTTTCGCTATTTAAACTTAGTTGTGATATTTTTTCCCAATTCAGATTGGAAAATGCATACGATTCTTAGAGGCAGTTACGTTTCATAACAAGAGACTTGTTTCTCAAGTGGTTCTTTGTTACTATCTAACCAAAGGACTGAATCAGTGAGAATTTCATTGAATCAACGTAAATCTTCTTTGAATTTCATAAAGCAATCAACATCACAATGCAACAATCGCTTAAGAAAGATTATAACTAAATAAATGGTGATACGGTTACATGCTATTACTGAATACTGTGAAATTTGTAATGAACGCAACAATCGTAGTTTTCGAATAGATAAAATAAATTGCGTAATAAAGCCGTGTTATAAAGAGAATTCGTTTCAGAGTTGATTTGTAGAGTGCGTTGAATATTTCAAAATAGTATTTACAGCAAATTTTGTAAAACTAATTTTGTTAATTATGCATCAATTTCTTAAGACTTCTATTTAATTCATTTATAAACCCTTATCGCGATTTGAACAGATTGACTGAAATTGATAAACATCAAGAAGTGTAAAATTATTTATATGCAAATGGCAAATAACGGATTCAATGAAATTAATTGATTATTTAACAATATGTATTGTATATACCTTTATATAGTAGTTATTATAGTTTATGATTCAATTATAGCAAAAGAAATTTCCTCAATTTGATATCAGCTATAAAAATTTTAACACCAGTAACATTGTTGTAAGCTAAGTTATTTTTTAACTATTGCAATTCTCCCAAAAATTATGTAGTATGTATTACCTATAAGTTGTTAACGTGCGCCTCTGGCAGGAAGCGAACCGACGATCGTGGGTTTTGCAACCACTCGACGAGTCAGTTATTATTTATAATTTGAAATATAACAAAGTGTCGCCGTAGGGGACGAACCGAGCCGAATGTTCTCACTGTCAATTATAGTGAATGTAATGTTACGGTGAGGGGAGCGGGAGGTGCCGTAAATGTTGGGGTGGGTAGCGAACACAAACGAGACCTGAGTCGGCAGAAAAAAAAAACAATTTCCAAAGAAATATTAAACCGTTTGAACATTAATAACGTCACGAACTTCAATTTAGTAATTTTGAAGAGGATCTCAAGGGAAAATTCCATTTTAAATTTTGTAAGGTATATATCGACGCTGGAAAGTATATACGTAGTAGCCTATAAAATCAAAATGGATATTTAGAGAGGAAAATCTTCTAAATTCCAATTCCAAAAAAAATGCCTAAGGAAAAAATTGAATAAGGAACACTTTATTTGTTACCATCGACGTTTATAGGAATTATTTATCGAAAAAAATAAAAGTTTTTCTGCTCTAAAAAGCAATTTTGGTTTTGCGGGTTACTACGTGTTTGCTTTCCAGCGTCGATATATAGTCACATATGTTTTACAGAAGCATCTCTTAGGCTTCTGCTTAGCATTTCCAAATCTGAATTGAAGCCGAAAATATTGGATTTGCGGCCAAATCAGACGATGTTTCTTCTGTCCGGCTTATCAATTTGACAATATTTTTACATTTTTCACTGTTGATTTTTGTTCCGCCAACAGAATTTCGTTTTGTCATGAAATCGTTCATTAACATTTAAGAAGATTTAATAGTAAACAACAAAATTATTATTTTACTTTAACAATGTCCTGATATATTAAAAATGTATTTTTGTCTGTATCCAGCCACTGGTTAGTTTGTCAGTATTTGGTTTTAGGATCTCACAAGCTTGTGTTTTCATGGTGCTTAGTATAATATCCTTTA